GCTTGAGCGGCTGATCTGTGTATACCACAACCGGATGTGCCAAAAAATAAGGCTTCAACCGCTTGACTGCTACGAATAAGGCCAACCCAAATTTTTCGATCATGGGGTACCGGAGCTCAGCATTTTTAAGGACATGGCTGATGAAGTACACCGGCAGCTGAATGCCGTCTCTCTCAGCGAGGAGAACGACACTAAGGGAGTGATCAGAGACGGCTAAGTACATGTACAGAACCTCCCGGGGTAGGGGGCTCACTAGCCTTGGCAAAGAATGCAAGTGCTGCTTAAGCCTCTGGAATGCCGCCTCTGCTTCTTCACCCCATTCGAACCTTGACCTCTTCCTGATTGCCTGGAAGAAATAGAGGCACTTGTCACCTGACCGGCTGAGGAACCTCCCCAATGCCGCCAAGCAACCGGTCAACTTCTGGACCTCTTTTACAGTGCGGGGAGATTTCATGTCAATTACCGCCTGTATTTTTTCCGGATTAGCTTCAATGCCTCTTTGGTCAATCAAGAATCCGAGAAACTTCCCAGACTCAACACCAAATACGCATTTCTTTGGGTTAAGCATGACCCGGTGCCGCCTGAGTGTGGTGAAGGTTTCTCGCAGGTCTGTTAGGTGATCCGTCTGTAGCTTGGATTTGACTATCATGTCATCGATATACGCCTCTACATTCCTGTCAATCTGGTTGATAAAAACAGTGTTTATCATGCGCTGGAATGTAGTCGGTGCATTCTTCAACCCAAACGGCATCACCGTATAGCAGAATAACCCCTGATCAGTGACGAAAGTCGTCTTCTCCTGATCTTTCTTCCAGAGGGGTATTTGATGGAAGCCGGAATAAGCATCCATAAAGCTCATTAGCGCATGGCCGGCTGTTGAGTCAACTAGGCTGTCCATCTTTGGAAGCGGGTAGCTATCTTTTGGGCATGCTTTGTTCAGATCTGTGTAATCCACACACATCCGCCAAGTACCGTTCGGCTTCTTTACTAGAACGACATTTGCCACCCAATCCGGGTAGTAGCATTGCCTAATGAACCCAGCATCCAACAGCTTTTTGACCTCAGCCGCTGCCGCTTGAGATCTTTCTCCACCATGATCCCTCTTTTTCTGCCTAACCGGCTGCTTTTTGGGATCTACGGCTAGCTTGTGGACAGCAAGATCCGGGCTGACGCCTGGCATCTCTTCCACTTCAAAGGCAAAGATGTCTTTGAATTCCTTCAGCAGCTGGAGCAAACCTACTCCCAACCGTTCGAAGGCTACCGTCCCGACCTTGACTGTTCTTTCGGGACGGCTGTCATCTAGGATGACATCTAGGCAGTCACCAGCCGGCTGAGGTCGTTGGTCATCTGACCTGTCACCGGCTAGTGATTGCTATTTCTCCTGTTTGACGGGTGCCAATTGGTCCGCCTTTCTTTTCTTACCGGCTGCCCTTGGAGCCGGGACTGCTGGGTCGCAGTTATCAATATCTATGGGCTCACCCTTGCCGGCTGCACCCATAGTTGTCTTGACATCAGAGAGATAGCACTCTCTGGCCGTCTTCTGGTCCCCGCTTAGGGCACCGACTGTACCATCATCCTTTTGAAACTTGACCAACATGAGGGACGGGATGATGACAGCCTTAGATGCGTTGAGGGTAGGACAGCCAAATATCATGTTGTAGGCGGACAGCTCCTCCACAATTAAAAACTTGACTATCATGTGGCGTCCTTGCCCCTTTTTACCCAGCCGGATCGAAAGATCTATGCTTCCGACCGGATGCACTACTCCACCCCCAAAACCGACTAGTGGGTGAGGAGCCTGGTGCATGTTACCGGATGTGTACTTGAGCTTAGTCAAGCACTGATAACTGATTAGGTCAGACGAGCTCCCGGTGTCTATTAGGATCCGGCCAATCTTCTGGTTGGCAACCTTGCATTCGATGACGATGGGGTCATCATGAGGCCGCCTGACCTTGCCCCGGTCCTTTTCAGAAATAAGGACCTCAGGGAAGATGTCTTTCGACGCCTGGCCCTCATCCACTGAGTTGACCAGCTTCCTGATGTTGTCTTTGGTGCCCCGGATGGTGGGACCCCCTCCGGCAAAACCGCCTGCTATGGTGAAGATGGTCTCTTCATCCGTCTCGGAGTTTACTGGGCCGGTTTTTGCCGCCTGCCCTTTCTTGGCCTGGGTATTACCCTTAGCCTTGGGTAGGTAGGATTTTAGGGCCCCCTCATCTGCCAGACGGTCCAATAGCCGCCTGAGGCTATAGCAGCCATTGGTGTCGTGGCCAACATCCTCGTGGTATTGGCAATACTTGCTCTTGTCCCGTTTATTCACGGGGCTTTTCATTTCAGCCGGTTTGTCGAGAGACATCCGGTCTTTGATTTCCAGGAGGATGGTGGAGCAATCTTTTGTGAACTCGTATTTGGGGACATACGGTTCTGACTTCTGCCTGATCTTCTGGGCCGGCTGTCCTGATCGGTCAGCTGCCCTGACCCCTTTTCTCTTTTCTTCCTTTCTTGCCGGCTGATGCTGTTGCCGGCTCTCTTTTTTGTCAGACTTTTTAGAATCTGACGGCTGCTTAACAACACAAAGCTCCGTCGCCTGTATATAGGCTTCAGCTTCAATTAACGCCTCTTGGAGGGTAGCAACCCTCTTCAGGACGAGGTCAAACTTAAAAGTCGACCCATCCTTCAGACCTCGAAAGAAGTCTGTATAGGCCACTTCGTCTGATAATCCTGGAATCTGAATTCTCATCAGATTGAACCGTCTGACGTATGACCGGAGGCCCTCCCGGTCGCCCTGCTGTATTGCCCCTAGGTCGAGGCTAGTCTTTTTGGCAGGAATGTTCATTGAGAAATTTGACGTAAACAAGTACGCCAAAGTTCGAAAGCTGTTGATGCAGCCGGCCGGTAAGTTACCAAACCACCGCTGGGCTATGCCCTTGAGGGTAGCCGGGAAGCATCGACACCAGACGGCATCATCTAACCCCTGAAGGTACATGAGGTTAGAGTAGGCCATTAGATGGTCCTCTGGATTGGTGGTGCCGTCATAGGCCCCCACCAAAATATTTTTGATCTTAGGCGGCTGTGCCGCCTGGGTTATCTCAGGTGAGAACGCCGTTGGTTGTTCCCCCAAATTTAGCAGGCGCAGCTGCCAGTCCGTAGGTTGGTACGGCTGCTGCACTTGCCCACCGAAAAGACCCGGTGACATAAAAGGGGATCCACCCAACCCATTCGGTGTGCCAAATAGGCCAGGCTGGATCACTTTGGGTCCAGACCGGGCAGAAGCTTCGCCCGTCTGGCTCCCAGGATTCGTTCCCGTACGCCTTTGTGAGACGTCAGGGAAACTGTCCGGGAAGGTCGACGTTGAGGCCGACGCAGACGCCTGACCTCGCTTCTCTTGGAGAAACGTGCGGGCGTCTGAGAATGTTTTGTTGGAGCCATCCGGCTGTACGTGCCGGATGGCCTTTCGCAGCTCCCCTTGAGGAAAACGGAGTCTGCTTGGGTCAAACCTTAAGCCCTCCCCCTCCTTTGGCTTTGGATGAGGGGTAGGAACTCGTTCTTTGACCGCCTTCTTCCCAGAAGGCTTCTTGGCCGGCTGACCCTTCTTTGGAGTAGCTGACCGGATGAGGCTCTTGATCTCACCCTTGAAACTATTCATGAAAGACTTGAGTTCGTTTCTTGTAACGGGAGCTGAGCCCTCCACCGTCTGGGCAATTCCAGCCGGTTGCCCGGCTGGGTTGCTGGGAGCAGCTTGGCTGATTTCCCGTTCTCTTCTATCTTTAGCACGAGTGTGCTTCGTTCTGAAAGACCCATCCGGGGCCACATATGTTTCAATTTCATCTCCACTTTCATGGTCCGTCTGGACCTCGGGCTCGACCACAGGCCGTTTGCCCTGATTCGGTGACACAGTATCAGAAGTCATCTTAGAAGTACTCTCCCCACAGACGGCGCCAAATGTTTCGGGGTTTTTTGATGTGTCCTGCGGGAGAGTTACAATTCCAAGAATGCCCTTCGACGCCTGTGCCTGCAAAATCACGAAGACTCCTGGGGGTAGGAGCTCCGCCTCCGACGATCAAGTTAGTAAAGATACGGGAGGTAGGATGCACGTAATGTAGAAGTTACTTCTCGCGTAATGGGAGAATTCTGCAATTAATATTGCTCGGGGTAAGTGTTTTTCTTTTTGAGGAGTATTCAATGTGAATAATAAATGTTCCAGATACCCATTAATGAGGGTCCTTCCACTATTTATAGTGGGGAAGGGATGGTTCCCCTTTTAGGGTTTAGAGGACACGTGTCAGCAGAGGATTGGAGCCCTGCTGACCAACGGCTGGGTGCCACGTGTCACTAGGCCATTGGGCCACGTGTTTAGGGTATTTTTACCCCAAACACCACCCATCATGAGGTTACTTGGTCAATATTACAGGGTTATTTGGTTAATGTTACAAAGGTTACTTTGTTCTTTTATAAGCGGCTACATGGTGTAGCTAGCTAATACAAAACAGGCTATTCATTTAATATGTTTTTATATTTTGTTTGTTAATAATTAAATCAAAAGAAAAAAAAAATAGAAATATGACATATTTGAGTGGTAATTGCCTAATTGGTAAGACACTAAGACATGTTATTATACTTAAGGCTATCCTAAATTCCTAATCTTGTCTAAACAACGTTTACAAATTTCTTTGGGTGAACATTTACATTTTAAAAAAAAATAAAAATAAAATAAAAATAAAAATAAATTGTAAGTTATGGAAAGAAAAGCAATTAATGAGGAGGATGCCACCCATGTTACTCGGACTCGGGTTCCCAGGTCTGATACGAGTACGTGTTCAAGTGTCTAACTCGGCTATTTTTTTAAACTAAAATCAAGTGTCCAAGTGTCATACTCATGTCCGAGTGTTGTGGGTCTGACACAGATACTTGAGGTAAAATAAAGTGTCCAAATATCATACTCATGTCTGAGTGTCGAAGGTCCGACACAGGTACTTGAGGTATAGAATAAGTGCACAAAAAAATAAAACAAAAATAAAAAAGAATATAAGTTGAGATATAGATATTCAATAAAGAATTTACAATAATAACAATAAGCCTACAAAAGCACCCTCTGAAACAAAGTTCAGCAGATCAACTTCAGAATTCTACTGCAAAATCTATAGGCAATTACAACAAAAAATTATACAATACTCTGCAGAGATATTACACTAGTAGTACTTCTCAAATTGACTATGCTTACATGTCAATCATTTCCCAGATTTTATTCACTCACATTGTAAACAAGTCACAGAATTCATTCCTTGTTGCACTACCTCCATTACCTGTGACTCTCTGAGTCTGACAACGAAGTGTAAACATCATTACTAATCATCATCAGCAAACAAACTATTGCTTGTAGAAGAATGATCAATTACTTATCACTGTATTTGTAGGACTGCATTGGCATTTGGCAGTGTCTAATGATCTTTCCTGCATTTTCGCCAACAAAGAACGGACCTGTTAGTAAACCAACCGAATAAAGAGGATACTGTTAGTGAAACAAAGCAATCAGCCTTCAAAGATATTCTCACCATCCGCAATAGATAATCACATTGTCCCAACACTTCATAAATAAGCATATGACGAAATTTAAGACAATGACCATTATATAAGATGACTCTAGTAAATTTGTATCCCCAATTACTTAAGCTTTTGATACTTTGATCCCATGGCCTATCATACCATTTGCTAGCTCCCACATCCCTGAACAATACGTGAATTGAAAGAAGCAGGTTCAATGGAAAACACTCATGATTACCTCATACCTTTCTCAGAAAATTTCAAACTGGCCGCTCTTCAGATCAGACATGACTTTCTAATTACTGAACTGCTCTAACGATTATCAAGTGTAGTTTCTATTTAATTCAACTTTTCGGGTTTGGGGAGAGGATAGGAAAAGGCTATAATCTGCACGATATATTAAAATTTCTAGATCAATACAAGAACCATTAAAATAAATACAAACATCACTTAGCTTATGGTCAGATCAGTTTCTGGAAAGGAGGAAACCTTACCAACAAGAGCAGACTGTCATGTGGAGGTACATTAACTTGAAGCTTGAGGAACCACAGTCTCGTAGTCAATCTCCACATACGGAATTGCTCTTATGCTACTCCAATCAGGACCTTCTTCAGGTTGACATCGCTGTTTCACCATATCACAATCGGTAATGATCAGTGACTGAATTGACACCGGAAGCTCAGGCAATGACATCAGCTCCATGCAGCGATTGAGCTCAAAAGTTTGCAATGAATTCATATGTTTTAGTGACTGCATTGAGAGGAGATTAGGACAATCCTCAATGGTAAGTTCACGGAGCTGGGGCATGCTATTGTCTGGCAATTTAAACCACCTTGCAAGGCACATCATGTCTTGGATCTTCAATGATTCTAATGAAGGGAAGGCTTCATTTCTACCTTCTCCACAAAAATGGTTGTCCACACACTTCACTCGATCCATGCCTTCGATATTAAGTGTCTTGAGGAAGAGAAGTTGCCCAAGTGATGGCAAGACATCATCTTGCTTGCAAAATTGTACATGAATACTTACAAGCAAGCAGGATGGGCTTGTAAGCCAAACAGGAAATCTGGAACCACCATAGTTGATTAATAACAGTTCCTTCAAATTTTTGTGCGGTTGCAGGCCAGAAAGGATATCCATTTGCACAGATCCATCTCTAGAACAACGGCTCCATTCTAATTCCAACCTCTTAATAAATGGCTTATCACATATCATGGCTTCCCTGGCCTCTGCCCCATCCCTAACATATTCAAGTTTACCAAGGTATATTGTACCACGTAGATGCTTCAAATTCTTCAACTCAGTTATGCGATATCCTTCCTTCTTACCAACCATAAAGGCAGGAAGTGTTTTAAGGCAACTCAAACTCCCAATGCTTGCAGGCATGCACCTCAATTTCCTCATGTCGACATCAAGATGTATAAGGTTGGTCAAGTTTTTAATCTGTTTTGGCAACTCTCGGAGTTCAGAACAGCCGCTCAACTTGAGTACTTGTAACCCATGAAGGTCGGAAGCTGAGTTAGGCAACCTTAGGATATGTGTCTGAGATGCATCCAAGTACCGTAAATGCTTTAATCTACCCAGTGACTCAGGAAGCTCATCAATATTAGTATGACTCAAGTCTAGAACTCTCAACCGCACCAATTTCTGAAAAAAGGAATAAGGGACTTGGCCAATTTGAGTTCCGTGTTCACTTAGCAGAAGAAATGTCCTCAGACCATCACATTTCTCAATTTCTTTGAGGAACGGTAGTTTGATGCAATCACAAAGCAGGGACAGATGGCGAACTTTTTTGTATAAAGGGGCGGAGCAAGACCACTCACCTTTCGCCAACCTGAAACATGTGTCTGAAGCCACAAACTCAGCAAACCTGTGAATAAATTCATGAATTTTGTAGCTTGGCATCTCCTGATCACCAAGATGCGAAAGTTGAAACACAGATCTCCATAACAGCTCATTAAAATACTCACAGCCAATTTGTTCAAGGTTTGTCATCCCTTGAGGCAGAAGAAAACCTTCTGCCATCCACAGCTGAACCAAGTTGTCTTTCTCGAAATCATAATCACGAGGAAATAAGGAGCAGTAAGCAAGACACTTCTTCAAATGTGATGCCAAGTTAGGGTTGCTCAGTCTAAAAGCAGGAAATATTTCCTCTTTAAAAATACTTAGCTCACATATGTCTTTCTCTGATAAAGTAACCCAATCATCATCATCATGCTTAGAGGATAAAAGAAGTCCCAAAATATTGGCTGCCAGAGGCAAGCCCTTGCACTTTTGGGCCATTGCTCCAGCAATATCCTCCAAAATTACAAGCTTTCGTTCAGATATATTATTAAAAGACAGCGCTCTATCCATGATTAGAACCTGACAATCTTCATCCTTCATCATTTGTAAATGATAAGGAGTAGCATTAGTAATTGATGTTACATTTGGGTTGCTAGTAGTCAGAAGAGCTTTGGAACCAGACGAGCACAGAAAATAATGACAGAAAGAACACCAATCATTACCCTTAACTTCCCGTAAATCATCCAACACAAACAAAATACTTCTCCCCAAGTAAAGATCACCAAATGAACTTTGGATTCTCTCAGGATGAAAGCTATACTCACCTTCCTGCCTCCGATTCAATATAAAGTCTGTGATCTTTGTCATGTCAAACTCCGCGGACACTGAAATCCAAACTATACGATGAAACTTTTCTTGGATTCTGGAATCATCTTGAATACTCTGAGCAAGTGTTGTTTTGCCAAGGCCACCCATGCCAACTATAGAAACTGTAATCAGTGTTTCTTCCAGCAGCATGGAGACTATCTTCTCCTTGTCGCTTTCCCTCCCGAATAACCTCACTGGAACTCGAATTTGCTCTCTTGTATGAGCAATCTCTTTGTAACATCCTAGTGAGCACTGCAGTGCTTGCTGGTTTGTTCTGTTGACCATGTCTAATCCACTTATTATATCCTCTAACCTTCCTTGAAGCTCTTGGATCTGTTGAGCCATCTTCCGCCTTTCGAAAAACGAAAACATCTTCTCAATCACTGAAGTTTTACTAGCACCAAGTACTATATCATCAACCAAGTCTTCAGCATCATAGCAAACTCCAGTGACTTCTCCAACCCAATGTTGCCAGGTATTGTTTGGAGTCAGCTGAAAGCTGTCAAACAAAGTTTCTGCTTTCAAGAGTTTCCTCTTCAGCTTTTTAAGTTCATCTTCTGCATCAAACTGTACAACCTGACCTGCTTCCTCAAAGACTAAAAATTTGAATCTTTCTAGCAAATCTTGAAGCAAAGCCAAAGCAAAGTCTGATTGAAAAACTTCCATTATTGTATTTAGATTTGTAGATAAAAGAGTAATAACTCAGCAAAAAATAGATACCTATCTTGGTGTTCTTGTTCAGGGATGAAAGCTCACCAGTCACCACATCATACACAATACACCCTTTTTTTCTCAGGATTATTAGCTTGAGAGTTGAGATGACCTGTAGACAAGGAAACTCAGAAGTCAAAAGTCAATGTGGCTGTGGGGTATATTATGTTGATTCATTGAAGGTGCAGAAAGCAAGTTGGACAGTGATGAAAAAAGAACATGTGGGTCGAACAATAATTTTTTTTTCTTTTTTTTAAAAATAGCTTTTCATAGTTTGTCTTGTAGTGATTGGTGTATTAATGAATTTATCAAGTTCATAAACTATTTGAGCTTAGTTTAAAATTATTATGAACCAGAACCCGACAAAGCTCAACTCGAGAGCTAGCAAGCTTGAATACCTTTTTTTTTTTTTTAATTAACCAATTTATTCTTATTATAAAACCTAATTAACTTAGAATTGACAGTAAACATTTAAACAACATTGGTGACAAGCGAAAGAAAATTAGAACACAGTTATACCATATAAGAAGTCAATATTTCTGAAATCAAGTTGAGTTATATGGATGTTGAACTTACAAATTAATCTTGAAAAAGTTTGAGATTCAGCTTGAGTACGCACAACGGCACAAGTATCACAACTCACAAGTCGAGCAAGAACTAAGCTTGGTCTCAGCTCGCTCAATTAGCACCCCTAATATGATGTTAAAATCAGCAGCGTGCCTATTAGTGATGTTAAAATCAGTAACAGGCCTATCCGCCAATGTATCTATAGCTCTATACGATACTAATATCTTACGTTTTACAATTTTTATAGCAGTCTAGCACCAGTTGTCTTCACAAAGAAGCATAACAAATGGACAAACGGTCATGCTGGAGAAATGAGCATTCAGCAATCAGCATCTTAGGTGAAAACCCAAGTTTTTTTATGATCGCAAAACTTATAATCCTAGTTGAATACCATCAATTTCTATGATTATCAGGATGGATGATCAGGAATAACAAAACTTAAAATCCTAATTGCATCCACACATACATTCCAATAGTCCAGTACAAATCAATAATCATCAAATTATACAACAATATCCAAATTCAATAAGTTCAATAACCTAATTTACGAAATTCAAACTAACCGAGGCAGCCATGTCATCGCCGGCAAAATTCATCACCATTGGTCCAGTCCACTTTGAATACAAACGGAACAATGTCACCAGCAATGCTATGTGAAAGTCCTCGGTATCAGATACTTCGGTAAAACGACGTTCGTTTAACCATTGAAGAATGAGTTGCGACCTAGTTTCAAATGAGGGAAAATAAACTAACGTCCATCGGTATAGTCAATATTGGAGAAAACGGGGAACTCATTACGGGAAGAGCCATGTAAACTGCAAAAATACAATTTGCTCATCATTTAAATGGAAAATAGATCGAAATGCAAGTTGATATCAGACATCAACTCTATTGCCTCCTTGAAATTGAGTGAGAAAACCAGCAAAATTGATATGTAGTATATTTTACATGAATCCTGTACGGATAAAAAAGATATAATCAATTTGCTAGGAAAAGATTTTGGAAAATTGAAGCTAAAACCTTACAACCTTGAATCTACCCATTAAATTTGCTATTAGTGAATTTACTGAAGCTTCATATTCAGAAATCTTATCAGAATTTGAAATCTAGAAGTTCACATACTCACAGAACAACAACAACAAAGAAAAAAGAAAAAAAAAAAAAAAAAAAAAAGGAAAAAGGAAAAAGAGAGAGAGAGCAAAACCCTGGGAAAATTTATGTTAGACTTCACCTTTCACCATTGGAAACAGGTGCATGACCTACAAGAATTTTTTTTTTTTTTTTTTTTTCCTATGCTTATGGCCTTGCTGTTGGAGGCCTTGGAGCATGCTCCTAAGTCCTAGTTACACTAACCTCGCTCTTTTGGCTCGGGAATTTCATATATTCATGCTGAGTAACCCATATTCAACCAAGCATTTTGTTGTATCTCATCAAATATGCAACAGAAATTCATAAACTTCAATAACACAAACTATATCATATATATATTTTATATCTATTCACAGGGAATTTGATGACATTTTATTCTCACATCTGTTATAATTGGCCTAGGTTATTTTCACAAGTTTAAAATTACTATTGTGTTAAGTATTGACGGTGAAAATACATGAAATCACAAGGGTACAAATCATCTTATATATTATAATAGAGAAAAAAACAGATAGTACGACTACCTTGAACTCGACCCCATAGATTGGAAACACAAATTGTTGCCAAATAAATTTAGGGGTCGTTTGGTTCACCAAGAGGAAAGGGAATGACTAAGAGAAAGGGAAAGAGGGACACAACTGATTACTTCTAGGAACACAACTGATGCTTATAATAGATGTGCTAGTAAATAAGAATGACGGTGTCAGTAGAATAGTTGGATGAAAAGCATCTAAAAGAGCTAACTAAAATGCCAAAAAAATTAATCACAGTAAAACAATTTGCAACAAGAAAAAGTGAAGTTGGGTCCAAAGGGTAATACTCATAGGTTTAATTAAATAAATCATAAGTTTTTTTTGAAATAAATCATAAGTGATGATAAGAGATGTATACAATATTACAAATATATGTATCAAAAGGCCATAGCCAAGGTAGCTGATGAAACTTGAGAGTTGAGAGTGCTTACAATAATGGCAGAATAACAATTGAAGGAAAGCTACTCTGCTGCCCCTGCAAAATCAAATATAGCTTTTAAACACTGTATTGTAAAATCCATCCAAATTCAGAAAATTTGGAGGAAAAAACCTCAACATATTGTTATTCTTTCATCCCACCTATTGCACTCTTTGGTTAATGATATCCATCCAATCAACATATTTCAATCCTAACATAATATTAGTATCATTTCACTCATAAATCATACTCTTAATGGTTTTAAAAAAAAAAACAGCATGGAAATGTAGGCCCTGCTAATAGTGCTAATAGCATTTCACTCATTGGGAAGGGACATCCCAAAATACCCGTCCAAGTATTGAACTTATGTCACTAGTTGAAGCAAAATGCAATTCCTAAGTCATACAATCTACTATCTGATTATTTCAAAGACCTTGACGTGTTAAACATAATAGAGCACTTGTTTAAACTAGAATTGAGATGGTCAAATACCAACTAATCAAGAAGGAACTGTCTTTTCATTAGAAAATTTGGATACTATACTTTAAAAGCCAGGGGCTAAAAACTGCAGCTTTTCTACACATAGAATTTGTATATAGATATAGCTGGTGGACATCAGGGTAAATCTTTCTTAATAAAAGTACTCATATTAAGGAGTAGCGTGTTGCATTAAATTCAAAAAAAACCTAGAGCTCCAGTGACCTTGTCTACCCGGCATATCTCGAACTAGTATAACAACCATTACTTTAAAAAAGAAGAAGAAAACAATGCAAGTCCTCCTGGAAGAAAGATAAAGAAAAGTAGCATGGAAAGATTTACCAGAAGGTATCTCTTGATTATCAACCCACAAACTTTGAATGTGCGCCACCTTGTGCCAATCTTGGCCTCCATTCTTCAAGGATTCCACAGAGATCATGGGACAATCCTCAATAATGAGTGTCTCAACTGAAGGAGGCAATCTGCCATCAGTCCAAGATTCAAGCATATCACAGTGACTTATCTCCAAATATTTGAGAAAACTGAGATTTGAAAGCGTGTTTAAGCTACAGAGTTTGGGGCAATACTTAATTGTGAGTTTAAGAAGGCAAGGAAAAACAGATTTTTCCATTCCACTCCATTCTTCTAGGCTAAGCATGTTTTCAATAGCTAACTTCTCCAACTTAGGGAAGGCAATGACCCCTTGGAAGTCAAGCCAACCATAAAAATTATGATCAATCACCTTCAGTTTGTGAAAGTCCAATATGTTTAGGAATTTGAGCGATGGAAGTTGTCCAAGAGATGGTAGGACTAAACAGTTTTCACACTTGAAGAGGGTGATACGGACCAGCTTAGAAAAAGCTGGATCACAAATCCAACCAGGCAGATCAAAACCATCAAAACAACTAATATGCAACTCTTCAAGGCTTGTATTTGGCACAAGAGAAGAAAGGACTTCTCCACTACCTGAAACATCTTCATTTTGTGAGTCACTCCACTGTAACTCCAACTTTGTAAGCTTTGATTTGTAGCATAAACAAGCTTCTATGGCCTCATCCTTCGTCAACACATTCTCAAGCCTGCAGATACAAAAGTTCCCTGAGAGGTTATTCATGTTCTGTAACTGTCGTATGCTGCATTCGTCTTCCAGATCAACAAGGAAAGCTGACAGTGTTTGAATGTTAGTTAAAGTTCCTAACCCTGGAGGCATTGAGCGTAACTGTCTACGAACATCAAGCTCAAGATGACGCAGATTAACCAGCTTATTCATTCCTTTTGGCAAGGAAGTGAGATTCAAGCAACCTCGGAGTTTCAAAGTCAGCAAATTCTCAAGGCAATCAATTGCTGCAGGCAAACGTTTGATGAGAGTCTCTGAAAGGTCTAAATAACGTAGACATTTCAAATTCCCTATAGAACTGGGCAGCTCCAAGAGACAAGTCTGACTCAAATCCAAAACTTGTAGTAACTTCAATGACAAAAAGAAATCTCGAGGGACTTGCTTGAAGCTCAAATCATGACCACGGAGAAACATAAGTGTTCTTAGATGCTTGAATCTCTTGAGTTCTTGAAAGACAGTGGAATTTTTTTGAGTGTAACACCTGATAGAAACATGAGATACTTCTACAGAGACATCATTTAAGTTTGAATTTCCCTCTATCAGAACTACATGGTTGCCACTTAAAATCGATAATGGGAATAAACAGCAATCCCTCTTGAATTTGTACATTGCTTTCCCAGTCACCAAATTGGTTTGGCAAAATAAAAAGTAACCACGGGTCAGCCAATTCTCAAAAAAAAAATCAGCATTTCCCTCCATTGGCTCCCTCACAAAAACACCATGTGCCATCCATAATTGAATGACTGTTTCTTTTTCGAATTCGTAATTATGAGGAAACAAAGCACAATAACGCAAGGCCTTATCAGCAATCACCCCATCAAAGTCTGCCTCGCAAGGGGAACAATGATTGGGGCTAAGAGAATGAAAGTAAGGAGCAAGAGCATCATCAACAATCAACCCATCACTCAAAGTGGGGGACGGAGTAAAGGGATATGGAGTTAAAGGGGACGGAGTAAAGGGATATGGAGTTAAAGGAGACGGGGTAAAAGGAAATGGAGTAAAAGGAGCATGGACATCATCAGCATCCATCTCATCATATGAAGCATTAGGAGGGGAATTAAGCATTCGGAAGAGCAGTGCATTACCAAGGAATTGCTTAGCCAAAGCACCCCTACGACTCCAATGAATGAAGAATTTGTACCTATCTTCCCCTCCAACTCCACGGTAAAAAAAGACAGTATCACCCACAGAGAGCTGTTTCTCCTCAACAAAGCGGCTCCAGCCTTCAGCGAGGATGTAGCACTGGTAGGTGTTCCAGTAGGAGTACTGAAATGTCCACAACTTCCCAGTAAGATCTTCAAAGTTAAGCAGGATACTTTTGATTGAAGAAAGCAGCTTAGGGAAATATTTCTCGGCAAACACCTTTGGAATAGGTAAGCATTTCAATTTGCTAACACCACTTGGAGTAAGATCCATTGGAAGCAACTCCTTACGAAACATCATCTCCTTCTTCACTGGAAGTAGTTTTTGGACTCGTTTCGCAGAGAGAATCACTTGCTCTGCAAGTTCTGATGCTGCCAAATCGTTCTCAGACCCTGACAGTTTCAAATTTTCCATTAACTCCGTCCCAGCTGTCAATGCCTCACGGAGATGCATATCAATCTGTGCAACTGAGTCCGCCACATTGCACTCTTGTGGTTGCCTGGTTGACACTGATGGCATGGTAGTATGTGCAAATGGGTCTGCCACATTCAACTCCTGTGGCTTGCTCGACACTGATGTCATAGAAGACTGTTCAAATGGGTCTGCCACATTCAACTCCCGTGGCTTGTTCGACACAAATGTCATAGCAGAATGTTCAAATGGGTCTGCCACATTCAACTCCCGTGGCTTGTTCGACACTGATGTCATAGAAGACTGTTCAAATGGGTCTGCCACATTCAACTCCCGTGGCTTGTTCGACACTGATGTTATAACAGACTGTTCAAATGGGTCTGCCACAGCCAACTCCTGCGGATTGTTTGACACAGATGTCTTGGCATCCTGTTCTGCCAGCTGCAACTTTGGTTGTTTTGACACTGGTGACAGCATTGCAATTGCAGTCAAATCTTCCTTAATCGAAACAGCATCACTAAACAGCTGATGAGAAATTAAACTATCTCTCCTGCCAATCCATCATAGAACACAATTCAGAAATATGTTACATACCTACATGTAATTTACATGCCACCAAGGTAGTTTTAAATATGTTACTTGCAATAAAAGCATACAATCAGGTATATCTTCTACCAATTGATATGAATGATTTCCATGGAAAATGCAAGCAGTTATCATAATACAGTGTTTTCATGTATCGAGTAAAACCGCTAACTGGAATTAGTGACTTTTATTGTTGTTGAGTGTTGACATGTCATTTCATAAGGAACTTTTTTGATAAATCAAAATACAAACAATCATTTTAAAACAGAAAACACGAAAACAACAAATGTAACTATGTAAGAAAAAAACAAAATTAAACCTCAGGAAGCGAGTTCCGCTTTCACAATAGTACTCCCGAGAAGACGATGCTGAAGCAGAAACAGGATTAATCAGTGATTTGGTAAGCATCAAATTCTACAACCCCACTTACAGCAGCCGCCAGAAAAAGACAATATCGGTGTTGCATCAAGATCATAAGTGAAACGAAAATCCGAAGATCTTTGAAACTGTGTACCGGAATTTCAGGTTGCTTTTGGGAGATCGCCTGCGCCGGAAGAATCCATTATCTCCAGCAATGACTGAGATTAATAGAGTCAACAATGATTTAATACTAGTAGGAAAAAAATTAGAAAATATACCCACAAATTTTTTAAAAAAATGGATTATAACTAGAGATGTCGGTAGAGGTGTCAAAAGCACACCCCACCCGACCCCACCCGATTCGAAATCGATCCAAAAAATATCCGATTTAAATTTGGAGTCACGTGGACATAACAATTTTGTACTCGCTCCGTCCCTTAATTACATTTTCTACTTCTCTCTATTAGTCCCTAAATTACATTCCTACTTCTCTCTATTATCTATTATAAAGGCTAGAAGTAGGAATGTAATTTAAGGACGGAGGGAGTATGACTTAACTTTAAAAATTGACCCGACCCGACCTGATCATATCAGATCAAATCTGATCCTATCATTTGAATTGACACCCCTAATTATAACACCACAAAATCTAAAACTTGTATTATAACACCAAAAAAATAAAAATAAAAAATAAAAAAAAATGGATTTCACCACTATCTAACATATTTTATGGATTACAACCAAATTACTCGAGTAACCCTTGGCCGAACTTCTTAAATAATCCCTAACCGAGTAACTCGGATCGAGTAACCCATGACCGTGTAATCCCTCGAGTAACCCCTAACCAAGTAACCCCACAAGTAACCTTTGACTGAGTGAACCCCTATCTCAAGTAACCTTTGATCAAGTAACTCGAGTAACCCCTGATTGAATAACTCGGGTAACTCCTGCCACACGGTGTGGACTGCTGCATCAATAAGTTGCTTTTTTTAAAAAAAAAAATGCATCACTTTGACTTTTGCACTATTTACATACCGTGGTTGACTTAATTTTTGTCTTTATAATATGTAATCACGTATCTATAAGAAATTACATATTGAAATAAAATTCAAAACAATGACAAACTAAAAGTTAGAGGTTATTAATTATAATTTAGAAGAAATGGGATCGGAAAAAATTAGAGTCTAATTATGTTAATTAAAGGATTATTACAAATTCTTAAATCAACCTGGTTCACACTAATTTATTGTAGACCACTAACATTAGAGACAATATAATTGTTTTATTAATAAAAAAATAAAAGTCACTATATTAAAATAAGGGTTATTATGTTGAAAAAAAGTTAGTGTAACATTAAAAGCTATAAGAGGTAAATTATTTAATAAAATTTTATATAATGGTCAGTATAAATAATAAAGACTACTATGTTAAAATTAGGTCACTATTTAACATAATGTCGTATTTTAAATTCATAATAACATTGTATTTAAGGTCACGCAAGTTTTAAAAAAGGTTACTATGTTTTAAAAAAAGGTTACTATATTAAAATTAGGGCTTACTATGTTGAATATAATGTCAATTATGTGTATAAACCTTAGGTCTACAATAATATTGTTCCCAAGTTATTCTGGAAGATTATTAAGGAAATGAGTTTCCTCTCGCAAAAAAAAAAAAAAAATAATAAAAAAAATGAACGTGATGGTTTTTTTTTAACCTAGAAACTTTTAAAAGGTTTATTTTATCGCAAAATGATGCTTTTAAAAGGTTTTTATGATAAAATTTCCAATTAATATTGACCTTATCAACCGTTATGAACATATCACATAAATAATAATGGATTATAACCCAAATTTCATTAAAATCTTTGAGAATATTCCCCAGCTTATATTTTTAATAGAAAAACTTTTGTATACACCCAATTTACACTAATATTACCGTGTATCGAGTAGTATAAGGGTAACTTTTAGCTAATTTTTGGATAACTTTTTGTATTTTTTTAGGTAACTTTAAACATAATACAATTTTTACATAAATAGATAGCATGTAAAGCTTTTATAAAGGTAATTTAATTACATTCAATCACTCATAATAGATTTTTAGTCATAAAATGTTAGAAAATATGCCTTGAATTAGGTGACCGAGTAGGTACACGATCATGTAGTCCACTGTACACGATTGTGTAGTCAGTGTTATTATGTACTCTTCAATATACACGGCCAAGTGGTCCATGGTCCATGGTACATGGTCGTGTAGTTCCTTTGCTACAAGGCTTGTCACACGGTCGTGTGATTCAGGGTACACGACCGTGTAGATGGGCGCAATATTAAACTGTGCGATATACACGGACGTGTGGGTCAAGGTACACGGTCGTGTGATTTTGGTTCGTGTGGTTATTAATTGGGCTTGGGCGTAAATTAGTTTATGTTTTGGAGAGTTCTATATATACCCCTTAGGGTTACTCTGATAGGTTGTTGTACACCTGTCAAAAATAAATTCCTAACAAAACCAACTAACAATGTAGTAGAGTAAGTAGGGTCGAATCCACAGAGGGATGGCTATTTAATCTAGCTTTCAAGGTATGGAGAAACTAAACTATGTCACGAAATTGAGATAAGAATATAGTCTAAAATAAAGTAGGGATAAAATAATTAATAAAAAGACGTAGGTTTATGGTTCACCATGCTTATAATTCCAAATCTATCAAATATCAATAGCAATTCAATCAATCAATTATCTAGAGAATTTGCTAAACCTACGGTCGGGTCTTAACGCTCTCAATTCGACATATTTAGTTCGGTCGCTAACATAATCAGAATTGCTAATTGTATGTAAGCCTCTAAAAGCAAGATCTTTCGATTCAAACTCTTATTAACAATAATTAATCAAACAAATGATCAGGTTGCAAGATTAACAATAAAACACTATCAATTAGAGAAATCAATAATCAAAATATTAAAAATACCAATCACGATTCATTATATAATCATGGATTCCCAAACCCTAGAAATAAACTACTCAAACATGGAAGAAATAATTAAAACTGGATCTAAGGAATAGAACATAATTAAAAATAAGAGATAGAAATAAAATATCTCAATGAATTGAAATAATAAACCCAAGAATCATCCATGGAAGAATCCATGGAAATACCATGAGAAACTAGGGTTCAAGAGAAAACTCAAAAGAACATAAAATAATAAAAAGCATAAAAAGGCATAAGGGAAAATAATAATCCCTTGAGTATTTATAAACTTCCTAAATTCTAATCTAAAAATAAATAAAGAAAAGAAATAAGAAAATACAAATTACACAAGTTGTATTACTATTATTGGGTGATAAAGGATGACGTGGCACGAAGACTAAGTACGATGAGGGACGAAAAAGCTACTCGAGGCTTCAAGGGCTGCTCGACCAGACCTGCGGGCGCAGGCCTAGCCGCGGCCTGCCGGCCTGGCAGTAGCATCAGGTGGCCTCGAGTGGGCGCGGGGCAGAGGCGCAGCCAGCCCTGCGGTGTTACACCTCGTCGCTGATTGCATTGCTCAGATTAAAACGGTCATATCATCTGTTCTATGAAGCTTCTTTGGGCGTGTGACCTATCATTGGAAAGTTCTTCAAGTCTAGTTTCCAACGCAATTTGAATCGCTACAATCCAATTTGTAGAACTAAAGTTATGATCAAAAGAGTGGACAAAGGTCAGTTTTGCCACTTTGTAAAGTGTCGTTTAACTTCGTTTCTAACTCAAATTCATTTCCGAAAGATGCATAGCGACCCTTGTGAATGCTATATTCATTCCTCATTCATATAAATCTCAAAATAAACATTCACGAACATGTTATCTTCGATTAATAAACTCGATTCATCGGCTTCCATCTAAATATCATTCGAATCAACTCCAAACACTTCGAAAGCGTCCAAATGACTATAAAATCACCTGAAACATTAAGTAAAACACAAACGGAGCATAATAGAGCACAAAACAAACAACTTATGCATTTGCGTCCTAAAAAGCAACAAAAGACCTAAAAAGCTACTACAAACTTAGCATAAACGTGCCTATAAATCCTATATGAATGTGATTTATCATACTCCTAGCCGAATAATAAGTTGATCAGTTGAGTGAGTATTCAAAAATCTGAGAGTCTTTTGTGTATTTCTCATCTGTGAGATCTGATAAAGATAACATTAGAAATTCAAGAGACAATCAATATGTTTCTGTGATTGGTCTCAAATCTGTTCTGAATTTGTAATCTGTTTTCCCCAAAATCAATAAAACTATTACTCTCGCCTGCCCGTGGACATAGCCAACACATCGTTGGTGAACCACGTAAATATGTATCTGTTTTTCTTATTAATTTTACATTCAATACTTGTTCTTTTTCACATCCGTCATAACATAAAATGTGATTCTTTACTAATAAAGCGTATATAATTTTTATTTGTATTGAGTAACTTTTATTCATTTCAGGAGTAACTTTTATTCATTTCAGAGGTAACTTTTGCTCATTTTATGATAATTTTATAACGGATGTACACTATTTTAATTGTACATTTGATTTTTTTTTTTAAAGTTGGTCATTTTAATATAGATTTTGTATACCAAATATATTTTGTACAAGTATATCTTTTAATTTAAGTGTAGTTACAGGGTTACAACTACCACCAAAAAGTTGGATAAAACGCGTTAGATCTGTAAAGAATATGTGTGCATGAATGAGAGTGTTGGGACTAAGGGATTTTATTGTCATAAATCAACTCCAGCTTACTCTTTCATGTGAAAGACTCATATTATCATCTTTAGAAAATATTGTTGAACTTCGATTATTTTAATGAACTAAGGGCCTGTTCATATTTACTGAACTGAGCTGAACTGAACTGAACTGAAATGAACTGAACTGATTGGAGCTGAACTGAACTGAAAAATTAAAATGCATAAAAATATATGAAAATGTTTATGAAAATTAATGAAAATATATATAGTGGATTGTGAAAAATATAAAAGTGTTTTAAAAATAACTCTGTATTTTAAATTATTATATTTTAAATTATTAAATTTTTGTGTATTATATTTTAAATATATATATAAAAATATAAAGTATTCTTCAATATTTTACTGTAGTCAATCGTTGCTTGTTGTACTCTACACAGTACAATTTTGTTCGTTTACATGAACTAGGGATTCCATTCACGCACCAAGTTGAAGTCATGGGACCAACAGAAGATCATACTATGTACGATGATAACAGAAAAACAGCTATGGATATTGTACGAAACCAAATAACTGATCAGATATGGGAGTCAATTCAGAGGAATGTCGAGGTAATGGAGCAACTTAATGAAGAAGAAGAAGACGAAGAACTAACCGATTATGAAAGCTAGTAATTGTTGTGTAGTACTCTCATTTTGTCAATGAGTTCAACTATAAAAAAACATGTGACCATTTTGAATGACGAATATAATTTAAAATAATAATAATAATAATAATTATTATTATTTTTTTATATTTATTATTATTATTATTATTATTATTTTATTATTATTGTTATTATTATTATTGTTATTATTATTATTGTTATTATTATTATTATTATTATTATTATTATTATTATTATTGTTGTTGTTGTTGTTGTTGTTGTTGTCGTTGTTGTAATATGCTAAAACATCTAAAACAAAAAATTAACAACTGAGTTGAACTGAACTGAACTGAACTGATTGGAGCTGAACTGAACTGAAAATAAGTAAATATGAACAGGCCCTAACTTAACTTATTTTTACTTTGCTAAAATTAAACTATTTGCTCTTTAAAATTACTAAGTTTACTTATTGATTAAAACTTATTTTTTAAAAAATAAATTATTTTTGCTAATGTAATTATTTTAGTAAATATTATTAACTTAAGGTGAAGAGACGTGTCTTGGCCTTATA